GACACCATACCACCACCGGTCCATTTTTTACCATCACGTGTACAGCTAATTGCTTTCTGGCGCCTTGACACTTTGCACTGGAGAGAGGGTGGGAGGGGGAGGGGGGGGGCAATACACGCGGAGGTGTCGAGTGGAACGTCGCGTCTGCCAGCGCGGTGTTGTGGCGCGGCGCGGCGTATGGTGGCAGGGCAGGTAACCCACGGAAAAGCCGTCGCACTTGCTTTGGTTCCAACTAATTTTTGCTTTAAATGCACTGAAATTTTCAATTGTTTGCATTTGTATCCGTACAAAATATGTTGTAAATTTGCGACAGCCCGTTCTTGATGGTTGATCAATTCCGAGTACTTGTTTGTATATAGTATAAAATTGTGATTTTACGAAACACATTATGGAAAATTTTCCCATAAACCTACCTCCGACTATTTTTCTATGGTCACGAGTCTAAAATAAACAAAATGCCAAATGGTAGCTGCCAACTTTTCAAGTACGCCAAGAATGTAAACGTATGCAAATAGAAAACTTACCGTGTTGCGCAGGCTCACTTAAAACTGGCAGCACTGGAAACCCATGTGCGTGTATGTTGCACACTTGTAGGCGTGTGAATTTCTATTCGGACATACTTGCAATTATAAGTGTGGAAAAATCCAAGGAAAATGCAAACCTTCACTTGTGCACGAATTGGAATCCACACAAGTACACAAGTGTGGTACGTTTTTACACTCTTTATGGTTTACTGTGAGGAGGGACTCGAGCGGTTCTCGCTCGTATTCGCACTGCCAGGCCCAAACCTGCTCATGCGCTCGTCACACACCAAATACGCCCATCTCACTCACACACAAAAACACACACACAGCGACGCGAGCGCACATGCATTTTCTCTCTCTCCTTTTTACCCCGACATTTTTTGGCGAAGTTTGCCGAGCTGCCACGCATGGCTAGGCCGCGAGCTGCGGGCCGCGCCCACCAGCACCGGCCATGGCTCGGCTTGATTAGCTAACCAGCCTCCGCCTGCACCCTGCCGGGGCCTGTCCGCCTGTCGGGGTCAGGCTGGCCGTCCGGCAGTTCGGCCGTGACGGATTGGCTTCTATAGTCGCGAGCCGAGCACGGCGCTACATGTAAAGTACTCACTCGATTGATTCTCGTTCCCTCGGCTGTCGTCGCACTCGTTGCTTCGATTTGTCACGGGAATAGTATCTCCCTGTGCCTCAGCCTCAGCGCTACTTAGCTACTTTTATCGGCTATCGACACATGAGACGCTAACTGAAAAAAAACAAAAACAACTGATACAACACGTATCGTTGACACTCTGAGGCGTTGCTTCCTCGCGAAAAACACGATTGATCACTCTGCAGTAACTAAGGCTTAAGTCAAAAATTTAAAAATAAAAATCTTTCTAAATAGCTTTGAGAACATGGTTTTCCAAAACAATTTTGTAAATTTTCTGAATTTGGAGAACTGAAACGTAGATTTTACACCAAAGCTGCGTTTAATATTCACAATAAAGACGATTTCAAAATAAATTAAAAAATATTAGTCAAAAGGCAAATTTTTCAAAAAGTCGGAAATTTTTCCAAACGTTTTTGAAAGTGGTGGTTCCAAACTGTCTGTTTGACTTGAATACTTACAAGTGTGCGACTGCATGTGTGCAACTCCTCAGTTGAGCACTTCCTTGGATTGAGTGCTCACTGTGTAGGAAGTGTTAAGCTAAAGGGGTTGCACACTTGCAAGTGCACTCCTACTGCGTTGAACTCATGTAAGTGCACAACTACGGAGTTGCACACTTACATGTGTTAGCAGTTGCACACTTGGTTTATCAGTATGCATTTACAAACGTTTCCCAAAAGTATCCATGGCAAACATTTAGGACTGTGAGAGTGTTTTCCAGTTTGATGTTTGGAGGTTCTATATGGGCAGAATGTTGTTAGATGTCTAATAAGCTTGAAAGGAAAAAAACAAAACAATGAAAGAGGATCCGGAAAATCTTGTCGTTCCATTTTGACCCTCTTTCGATCGTTTACAGTTAAAGCGATGAGCGGTGCGCTGCAGTGACGGTGACACACACACTCACCCTCCCTTTATTGTGAAGCAGTTAGGCAAAACATGCAAAAAGTAGGAAAGTGGCAAAAAATAATTTTAGCTTTGCTTTTTATTTCGGGCAATGGAGGTGGAGTACTAGATGTGCACGCCGACTCGACAAGAGTTGGCATAACACCTAACAAGCTATAGTTTACTGCTATCGCCAGTACAAAATACAAACAACAACAAATTCACCGTTGTCAGAGGCGCAACATATTTACTTTTAGCCCTCTGACTTTAAATTAAGTGACGTGGTAACGAAAACGAGTCTGCATGCTTCCCATATTTTTCTTTCTGATGAGATAATTGTAAGAATAGCCAACATATTTGCCAGTTAGTGAAAAAAATTAGTCAAAATTAGTAGAGCCTGGTCCGAGAATGACTAGATCAATTTTATCCTTTTTAAGAAATGAAAATTAATATTTACCTTGTCGAATCACAACGCAGCAAAAAGTAAAATACAGGATGTGCAGACAAGAGCAACAAAACACAATAAATTTATTTAAGGTAGATTGATTCAATATCATTTATAATCAGACTACCACCTTATCGTAGCATTTCTGCCATCCAACGCTACAAAATAAAACATTGGTAAATTGAAAAAAAAAATGTACAGGTCACAATATCTTAAATCTATACAATTACACCAGTAACCGAAACACTGAATAAATAATATGAATTCTTTGGCTTTCAAAAATTTGCAGGACTTGAGTAACAACACAGTTTTGTTCAATCCTCACAAAGTTATATACAAAACACAGAAACAGGAAAAAAATCCCCGTCATTGATCAAAATAAGCTTTTTCTTAAACTACTAGACAACTTATTGCACTGAGTTGAGAACAATCCAAGAAACGGCTCTCAACGTATTTGACTCCCAAGAACAATGTAACACGCAATCTGTGCATGGATTGCTGGAAACAAATAACCCAGCAGGTTTCAATAATATTTTGAGAAAGTTTTGGTCGTTAAACAACTGGCCCTTTTTTGGTAAATTAAGAGTACAACGCGAATATTGAATCCAATCTTACGAGTACAGGTCAAGAAAGTATTCGAATTCACTGGGTAAACAAAATGTTTCTCACAGTACATGCACAGCTCATGCCACTTTCACACTTAACGTCCACTCCCTCAAACACACTCTCACATAGGCTCACGTGTTTAATATACCTGTGATGCGCTCTAACGCTTCACAAATCATCTTATTCAGCTCATGACTAGAGTTAAAATTAAAATCACATGACTAAAGATATCACTAGGTACAAGGAATATTGCTTTTCCTAAAACGAGTTGAGTACAAAATTTGTCACTGATCCGGGGAAAAAATTCACGGCGTGGAAAAATGGCACTCAGGTCCTCTGTGTCGCCTGAACATGGTTCCGAGTCTTTTCCCGCACACACTTTTTCACCGTTCCAGACTAGGGCTGGGCGGTTTTTTCATTTCAATATCAATACCCAATATTTTAAAATATTGAAATATCTTCAATATCAATATCCTGTATTGAATATTGAAATATTGAAAATATTGAAATATTGAAACGTAAAAATATTGAAAATATTGAAGACTTAGAATTTTCCGATTTGGTATGTTTGTTCTCTGGCCTTGTCAGCGACAGGAATCGTCTTCTCTTACACCTCAGGGTTTATAAAAGAGGTAATTTCATACGATATACAACAAAAAGGGACAACATCACGCGATAATTGAGTATTTTAGAGCTGGGAATCTGACTCAATATTTCAATATTGGCTTTTGGGTTCAATATTTAAATATTGAATATTGATTTTGGAATATTGAAAACTTCAATATGTTAAAATATTGGTTTCAATATTTAAAAATATTGATATTGAGGTCAATATATTGAAAAACCGCCCAGCCCTATTCCAGACTTGATATGTACGTTTCATCCCCCATAGTTGCCGCAAGGAGCTCGTCCTTCGGACGATGGTCAGGTCGAACTGACATGAAAGAACGTCGTTGGCACACTTCATTCCATCACTCCGCGCCATGGCTACACCATGACCGCATGGTAATGGCACAAAATAAAACTTTTGGTACATCTGTTTCAAATGAGCTCCATTTACTAACGCGTTGCGACACAATGTCAAATATTCTCCCTTTAAAACGGCAAGGAAAACAAAAACAACCGACATGCTAAACCGATTCCCTGTATAACATATTGGCACTTTTTACTTGAATCCTCTCCTAAACAAAAAAGACAGTCTCCGTAATCACCGGGCGCTTGGCCCGTCTACAGCCGAGACCTGCGCGAATTCATTTTCGTTACATTATTGGCACACTTGCAGTCGGTCCGTGGGAGCCGGGGGCAGGTCAAGAGCATGCGGCGGGGCCGGACGGTCGCCCCAGCGCTGGCAGCCGGCTGCTGAGAAGCCACAGATCGGCGGACCATCGCCAGCCCTGGCTGGGTGCCTTCAGGGACCTGCATCCAGCGACAGATGAAAGCGCGCGGGGACGGGCGGGGGAGGGGGGAACTGTCGCGCGGGCCTCGCAGGGGAGCGGCGCCCGAGTGTGGTGATGCGTCGCGTTTAGGTCTCTAATGAAAATTATTTACGAAGTGGCACTTTTTATTCACTTTTGATAAAGTGGCGAATTTCAAATACGTTTGGCAACAAAGGCCAAAACAATTTCTGGGTGAAAAAGTTGTATTAATCTTTAAAAATTAAATTGCTTTATCTAGAGTGCAGAAAGAAACGGGAGAGATTTAATTTAGTGAAATAAGCAAACCAGCAGAAAATTGCTTTGTATCGACGCGGAGTAATGTTTTTGTTTCATTACTTATTCTCTCACGTTAGGGGCGCGGTCCTTGGCAGCTTCTAAAGGGGAAGGGTGAGGGGAGAGGGGGGCGGCGGTCACTGCATGCAGTGCCCGGGGGGCATGGGCGTGGGCGCGCCTCCGCCAGGCCCCCCGGCCCCCTGTCAGTGCTGGGCCGCGAACTTCATGCGCTTCTGTTTCTGTCGCTGGTTGCAGAACCAGACACGGACCACATTCTTTTTGAGGTCCAGCTTTTCGGCGATGGCCGCGATCTTCTCCCCGGAGGGCCTGGGCTGTACGTTAAAGTACGCCTCTAGCGAGCGCTTCTCCGGGGCCGCGATCGAGGTTCGCTTGCGCTTCTTCTCCCCGGCGGGCAGCACGCTGGGCGCGTCCGGGTCCTGACGCTTGCTCCTGGCCTGCGCCTCCGCCTCCTCTAGCCACGCCTGGAGGATCGGCTTGAGCGCGATCATGTTGTTGTGGGACAGGGTGAGCGACTCGAAGCGGCAGATGGTGGACTGGGACAGGGCGCCGACGCCGGGCAGCTTGAGGGCGGCGAGCGCCTTGCCCACGTCAGCCTGCGTCACGCCCAGCTTGATGCGCCGCTGCTTGAAGCGCTCGGCGAACGCCTCCAGCTCGCGCGGGTCCGTGTCCGAGTCCGGGTGCAGCCCCGCCGCCGCGGCCGCGGCCGCCGCCATGGCGGGGTGGTGCGCCGACGGGTGCGGGTGGTGGTGGGGGTGGTGGGGGTGGTGGGTGGCGTGGCCCGCCAGGGGCCCGCCGTGGTGGTGGTGGTGGTGGTGGCCGCCCATCATCGAGTTCATGGGGTTGTACATGGGCGGCGGGTGCAGCTGGTGGTGCGAGTTGTCCGAGATGGGCGTGAGCGTGGTCATGCCGGCGCCTTCCAGCATGTCCAGGCCGCGGTCCAGGCCCTCCATGCCGTGCGGCCCCATCTGCAACAGAGACACACGCACAGTCAGGCGCCTGCTGGGTGGGCAGCGCGCGGGCCGCGGTGCGCGACGGCGGCCTACCTCCCGGGCGCCCGGCGGCTGCGGGGCGGGGGGCGCTCGCGTGTGCAAGTAGTAGAGTGCGGCCGCGCGCCGCGTCGGAGAGAGAGATTAAGCAATCGAGCAAATCGCCTGGGTTGTTGGCTTCCGCCGCGCCACGCTGCGCCACGCGCTGTGCCACCCGCGCGGTGCCCCGCCGGTCCCGCCGGTGGCGACGCGTGCCGCCCGCGTGGCGCCCGCGTGCAGCCACTACAGGGCACGCGCCGCCCGGCGGGCCGCCCGGCGGGCGACTCTCATTTCAATTGGATTGGGCTCTCACTGGAGGTGGCTCCGGCTCGCGCCGGGCCGGCTGACATGGGGCGACCTGGCGCCCGGGGGCTCGCGCGCGAGGCTCAGGCTCTGACCCTCATCCCATCAAACCTTTTCCCAGCTCCTGACCCTGCCCGCACCGCCCGGCCCCGCTCCTCCCCCAGCTCCAGCTCCGATCGCAGGCCGTATTTTACTCTCCACAGGAACGCGCCGCCGCCACCGCGCCGTACATCACGGCGGACAAATGCGAAGGCGGCGGCCGCTGTTGCTGCTGCTGTTAGGGTGCGCCAAAGGTGGTAGTGGCCACAGCTATCGGCTCGGCGCACCTAGCGATTTTAAAAACCGAAGTCTCCCCGCGAAATTTGGAAACTTTTCCAGAGAAAATTGTTAAAACAAAAAGTACAATTTGCAGGGAAAAGACGAGATTGAAAAAACAATTCCAAAGATACTTTAACGGGATATTAAAATCCTTAGGCGCACCCAGCACCTCCCGCCCGCCTGCATCCTCCCACCCAAACGCACCCCGGCCCCGGCCCGTCTGTCCTGCTGTTGTTTCTCCCTCAAGCTCTCTCTCTCTCTCTCCCTCTCTGCATGTCACCCCCGCTCTCGCGACACATGCACCACAGTCCCTCGGCGCCGGTGGGAATGCGCTTTTGCCGGCCAATGCGATTCCACTGCATCCCGTCAACGAGCGCGCGCGGATCGGCGCCCCTCAACTGGACGTGGAGGAGAGGTCAGAGGCTGCAGGTTTGCCGTTGCCGTTGCCCTGAGGCCGTGTCGCGAGCTGCCCCCCCCCTCCCCCCACTTTCATCCTATCTGTCTCCCGGACTGGGTTACACACGCAGCGTGCGACCCCTTCTGTCTGGGCCCTAACCAGCATCAGAGTACCAGCGTCGCGTCACTCTCCATCCGCCGGGGAAGTCCTAAGTGCAGCAGCAAGGCTCCGATATAGGAAGATCGTCTCGCCCCTGCCTGCCACTAACACCCCCCCCCC